CTTGCAGTTAGCAGCCAGGCGCTCCAGCCATGGACTCCCTAATGGGACAGGGCCACCATGACCAGTCACGTGCCGTGTGGGTGCCTTCTGCGTTTGCATGTTAAAGTCAGTGTGGTTGAGGGAGCACACAAAGGGTTCACGAATGACTGTGGAGTCCCAGGACGCGGCCGGGAACTTGAGGCCACCCAGTGGTGGCTCGGCAGACAGACAGCCTGAGGCTGTGTTTCTGAAGGGTGTGGGGGTCTCGAGAGTCTCCACACAGGGGCCGCTGGTGGGTTACTCCCTTTCCACGGGACTGTCATTCCCCGGCCCACAGCCAACTTCTCCCAGTTCGCCTTCGAGTCGGTGGTGGCCATTGTCAACAGTCTGCACCACAGCAAGGACCTGAGCAGGGACCAGCACGGGCGGAACTGCCTGCTGGCCTCCTATGTCCACTACGTCTTCCGCCTGCCTGAGCCGCACAGGGACCTGCCTAAGTCTGGGAGCCCGGCCGGAGGTGAGCTCCTGGGGGAGGGGGCCCCCACGCCCTGTCCTTCTGCACCCTGCAAAGGACAGAAGAAAAGCCCCCCTGGTCCCTCCGTCCATCTGTGCCCCAGGCTGACACAGGAATGCAGAACGTGAGCTTCGGGTAGTTTCCCTCTGGCTCGCTTCCCTGGCCCTGCTTTGTGCTTGGATCACTCGCTGTGCCCGCCACAGAATCCCTCCCAGCGGCCTTTGCCCCTTGGGCTATGTGCCATCCATTTGAGCGTCTCCAGGAGCCCCCATGGTTACTTGTTGGGCTGCTAATTGTGAGGTTGTCTGTTCAACTTCACCGGCTGCTCCTCGGGAGAAAGATGAGGCTTTCTACGCCCAGAACAAGTTACAGCCTTGGAAACTCACAAACACAGTCTGTCCTGCCCTACAGGGTCCCTATGAGTCGGAATTGACTCAATAGCATTGAGGTTTTTGGTTGTTGTTGTTGCTTGAGGTTTTATTTGTTTTATGAACGATATAACACTAGACAAACCTGCCGGCCAAGACCTCTTGAAAACATCAGAGAGCCAAGTTGTGCCTGGAGGACTGAGGTGCGCCTGACACAGGCCACGGTCTTTGCGGTCCCCTCCTGCGCGTGGGAAAGCTGCCCATCGAATAAGGACACTCGAGGGCAGCCGGGGCTTGTGGATGAGGTTGGCGAAGGATAGGAAGGTCGCATGGGCCGTCCGAAGAGCCAGCCAGTCTGTCTTGGAAGAAGTCCAGCCCTAAGGCCCCCAGAAGCTTGCCCCTCCCTCAGTCCCCCGCCGGAGCCCACCGTGGCAGCCCCTGTGTCCATCCACCCCGTGGAGGGCCTTCCTCTTTCTCACTGCCCCTCTGCGCGACAGAGCACGATGTCCTTCTCCAGGGACACGGGCCTCCTGACACGCTCAAAGCACGTGGCCGCAAGATCACCATCCTTATCTCTCAGGAGCACTCTGGCTGTCCTTCTGCCAAGACAGATGTGCTGGCTCGTTGGGGCAATACTCTTCGCCAGCACCACAGTTCAAAGGCACCGGCTCCTCTCCGCTCCTCCTTGGGCAGTGACCAACTTTCCCACACATAGGATGCAATTGAAAATGCCAGGGCTCTGGTCAAGCCCCCCTCGGCCCTCAGAGGGACCCCATTGCTCTTCAGCACCTGAGAGAGGTCTTGTGCACCAGATGACCCTCATGCCCGCCTCCACTCCAGGCGTGGGAGAGGAAGCCCTTAAAGGCCAGGCCTGGGTGTTCACCCTAAGGCCTCAGCCAGTGACTCTGGCCCCTGTCTGTCTCCATGTTTTGCCTGGCGGGTGCAGGCGGCCCCAGTCCTTCCCCGGACCCTCGCTACCACACGTACGGACGCACCTCGGCTGCCGCCGTGAGCTCGAAGCTGCTGCAGGCGCGCGTGGTGAGCAGCAGCAACCCAGACCTGGCGGGGACTCACTCTGCAGCCGATGAGGACGCCAAGGGCCTTGTGTCGGGGAAGGTAGGGCAGCAACACCCACCCCACCCCCCGCCCCCTGCCACCGGAGGTGTCCATGAGCACCAGGAGGACCCACCAAATGGGTCCCTACAGAGGGGAAGACTCCCGAACAGCCAGCCTTAGAAGCATGGGTGCTCTCTTTTCGGTTGAGCCTAAGCTGCAGAGGGAGGCAAGACTGGCGTTTGAGGGTCTTCTCAAAGGTCATTAACGCTGGGGGGCGGGGCAGGGCTGGTGGTGCAGTGGTCAAAACACTCCGCGGCGAACTCAGAGGTCACCTCCCGCTTCTCGGGAGGAAGGTGAGACGGCCAGGGGCCCTTTCGGCATTCATAACCCCGTTCTCGGGCCACACTGGTCGATGTTTAATTAACCTCCCCCTACTGTGCCGGAGTCCTGGCCGCACAGTGATTACCTGTGGGGCTGCCAACCACAGGTCTGTGGTTCGAAACCACTAGCAGCTCTTTGGGGAAGGCCTAGGCTTCCTGCTCCCTTGAAGAGTTACCGCCTTGGAAACCCACAGGGGTCATTCCACCATGTCCTACAGGGGCCCCAAGTCAGCATGGACTCATAGCAGTGAGTTTGGTGTGGGGGTTTGGCCACGTGATGGCTGAAACGGCTTCTTTGGTGAGGCATGTGCTGCTCGCTGGTATGGATGAGTTCATGGGCTCCACGCAGCCTGGGGGCCGGATGTTTCCCACCCCTGATCTTCGGCCTCAGAAACCCCAGGTGCGGCTCTGCTCTGTCCCACCAGGGTCCCTGAGTCCACGGCGGTGACTGGGTCATTTTAGGAGACCCTGCAGTACCACATCAGACCACAGAGAGGCACTGTTTGCACACCTCATTTCCCCCTCCCTCCTAGCTAACTGCTCTGCCTGGCCCGGTGGGGTTGCTGTGATAGAGCCTGACTGAGGGCAGCCGGTTTGTGGGTCTCTTCCAGCCTCGGACTGCCCAGGCGGCTTCGCTCCACCACCCTGTCCCTGGCCATCCTCTCAGGCGGGAGTGGGCAAGGTGTCACCTCACCTTCTCCTTCCTGTGTGACCAGACACATTAGGGAAGAAACTAGACGTGCATTCCGGGCCTGTGGCCCCCAGGCCGGGAGGTGGGCGGCTGGCGGCTCAGCTAGGCTCCTGTGTTTCAGATCCCTGATCGAAACTGCAACCGAGTATCCTACTACAGTTCCGGCAGCAGCGATGCTCCTGGCTCCGCCGCAGCCCCGAGGCCGGCCAGCAGAAAGGTACCAGCCACGTGGGGTCAGGGGGCAGGCAGGGTGGGGTGTCAAGGATAGAACAAGGGGACGAAGTAGGGTGGGGACCAGCACAAGGCTGGGGGCCAGGCAGGGTGGGGACGGTATAGGACACAATGGTTCGAAATGGTTGAGGGTCAACATCCCATCCACAGGCTGGCCTGCCTGGTGGCCACGGTCTCCAAGCACACACCATGCACCCAGTGTGCCATGCTTCACACACGTGCACACGCATACACTGCCCATACCACACGTCCTGTGTGCCACACCCACTTTACGTGCACATGCCGACATGCACACACACACACACACACACACACACACACACACTCACACTCACACTCTCCCTCGCCGCTGCCGCCATCTTGACCATCCACTAAGGGCAGCAGTGGTTCAGAATAGGAGCCCCGCCTTCCAGGATGAGGCCAGGGTTCGGGTCCCAGACAAGGCGCTTCCTGTACAACCGTGCCTGCGTGTCAGAGCGGACTCGCTCCTTCAAAGAACTGGCCTCCCCAGAGCTTCCAGACTACGATGACGTTACAAGAAGGACCAGGCCATCCCCTGCTGAAGATCGGCCAGTGGAAACCCCATGGTCCCGGACCGGGCGGGGCCCACACGGCTGCTCCTCACACCTGCCCCTGCCTGATGGCAGTCAGCAGGCCCGCGGCACCTGGGGGCTGGTTAGAACCACTCACAGCCCCCAGCCCCACCTCCCGAGTCCCTGGTGGAGTAGTTCTGAGGGGGGGCGCCAAATCATTTGCATCTTCACAAGTTCCCGCTGGGATTCTGGTCTGGAGGCATGCTGGGAAAGCCTCAGGCTTAGCCTCTCCCAGCAGCTGGGGGGCCAAGGCCTGCGAGGTCCGCCAGACACCTGGCAGGGCAGATCGCCCAGCCAACCAGGGAAACACGGGCTGGTGTGCGCTTACCGACTAGTCTGCCGTGAACAGGGTCACGCAGGCCAGGTAAGCACAGACGTGCTGCTATTACTGACTCATCTGTACTGACACGAGACGTTTCTCACCGCTTCGAAGACGCTATCTCGGTCCAGCCCACAGCCCCTTCCTGCAGAACCGAGGCCTCTGTGTAGGTGTGCATCCCTGGGAGGCAGGGGCCAACTGACGTTTGGGGACGCGTCTGTAGCGAGCTGCGCCCTGTGCCTTACACTACAGCTTTGTTCCAGTAAGCACGCATCAGCCGTGCTCACCTTGCTGACTGCTCCATCACGCCTGCCCCTGGGGTTTCCAGACTCAGCTCAGCACGCAGGCCTTCACTGGAGGGTTTGTGGGCGACGTTGAACTCCAAACCGGCAGTTACCAGAGGAGGAAATTAACACTGTTCCCCACCCCACCCCACCCCAGCACTCCAGCGTGGTCTAGGAATGGGTGGGGGGAGCCGTCTGCCTCAAGCTGACTCCCGGCCAGACACCTGAAAGTCTCCGTTACCATGGCAGCTTAGGGGAGAGCCTTGCAGGCCTCCCAGATCGCCCACCACAATGTCGGGGGAGGCAGGCACCAACTGCAAGTCTGGCCGCTTGAACCCACCTGGAGGGGCCTCACGAGCGAGGCCTGGCAGTCAGCTGCTGAGGGCAGCAGCCCTGTGACCCCCGTGGAGCACAGTCCCACCTGGCTACTCACCTGGAGCTGGAGTGGACCGGAGGACAACTGCAGGAGCCCTCGTGGTGTTAGGCTGCTCGCCTCAAGGTCCGAGGTTCAAAACCACCAGCCGCTCTGAGGGAGAAAGATGAGGCTGTCTGCTCAACGCACAGGGGCGGTGCTTCTCTGTCCTGCAGGGTCACTACGATGAGAATGACCTCGATGGCAGTGAGCCGGGCTTTGGGGTGTCAAGAGGTGCCGTCTCGGAGACCGGCAGGGGCTGTTCTACTCTGCCCGGGGGCGGCTTGAGTGGGCGTAGCCTCGATCGATGTCAGTGGGCTGGGATCTTTGGCTCCCAGGACACGCTGATGAGAAAGGATGGCCCAGGAAGCAGTGCCAGGAAGACCAGCACAGGGAGCTTAGTGTGCCCAGCAGGCCAGCCGGGCCGGCCCTCAAGAGCCCTCAACTCCCAGGGAAAGAGGTGCGATCTAGCTGGGGCCCCGCCCCGCCCCTGGCCCAGTGCTGCAGCTGTGACACTTCAGGTGCCTTCAGTGCACGCGGAAGCTGTGACCCAGAGCGGAGGGACCGGGAAGAAGGGGCCCTTTTGACCGATGCCGCTGGGGCAGTGGTGACAGGACCCCGGACGACCAGAAGAGCAGACAGGTCCGTCCTGGACGAAGTGCAACCAGCTGCTCCTTGGAGGCCAGGACAGCGAGACTCCGTGTCACATGCTTGGGGCGTGTTGTCAGCAGAGACCAGTCCCTGGAGAAGGACGCTGCCCTCGGTGCAGCAGAGGGGCAGTGACAGAGAGGAAGGCCCCGGACCAGATGGAGGGACACCGTGGCTGCACCCACAGCTCGTCGGGGACATAAGGACAGCGAGGACGTGCCGGCCCCGGACAGCGCTTGGTTCTGCCCCTCCTGGGGCAGCTACGAGTTGGAGCCGACTCGAAGGTCCTAAAGGAACAGTCTGGTGTCTGGGGAGCTCCCAGGAATTCACCGGAAAGATGGATGTGGAGGGGCCATGGCTCGGTGGGTGATGAGAGCAGAAGTCCTCGCTGCCCTCAGCTCCAGCGTCTGCTGGTCACAGCCCCTGGGCCCTGCAGCGCCAGCGGCCATTCTCTTCCTGGCTGCACTTCTGCCAGGATCCTGCTTGTTGCTTGTTCGCTGTGGCCTCGTTCTGACCTGGAACGGCCAGCGAAGGGCCATCTCGTTTCAGGGAAAAGCTGAGCCCACGCTTTGTCCCAGCTGCCACAGCAGCTCGGACCAGATTCTCCGTCCATCCCTAAGCAGGTCACCCAGGCTGCAGCAGCCGCTTCTCTCTGGCTTGCTGATCCTGCCTAATCCCTCCTGGCCTCCGAGAGTCGGAGAGGTGGCGACCCACTTCCCAGGGTGACCTTGGCTGCTGGCGTGTGGCCAGAGGTGTGCCGTGTGAATAGACCACCTGCAGTCTCAGCCCCTCTCTCCCAGGGATGGAGAGAGACCCTCTCACCACACTCCCAGCAGGCCCCCCAGGTGTGGGTGTGGGTCTGGACGAAGGGAGCCTGCACAGCTGGCCGAAGACCCTGGGGGTGGGGAGACCACCTGACAGCCTGAGAGAACTTCCCTGTTGCTCTTCCCGGCCAGCAAAGCAGTTCCCTGGGACCCAGTACACGGGTGGGGTGCTCAGCTGCTAAGCAAAGGGAGAAAGATGGGTCCGTCTGTCTGCAGAGATGCCCAGCCGTGGAACCCCGTGGGTGCCCGAGGATCGCTGCGAGTCATCATGGTCTAGGGGACTGTGGGTTTGCTGATTTTGAAGCAGCTCACATCTCAACACCCATGTTCTCAAGTCATTTGTAACACAGTGGCCCGTGTGAGAGTGCCCAGTGCCCCAAGTGACAGCGCCGAGTGGCCCATGTGACATCGCCCAATGTGGCCCATGTGACTGTCCACTGTGGTCCGTGTGATAGTGCCCAGTGCCCCATGTGACAGCGCCCACTGTGGCCCGTATGACAGCACCCAGTGTGCCCTGCATGACAGCACCGAGTGGCCCATGTGATAGCGCCCAGTGGCCCATGCGAGGTCCTTGGTACTGGATCATCCGAGGACCAGATGGCAGGGTCTCTCTCGCTCGAAGTTCAAACCACCACCCTGAATTCTCAGCAGAACGCCTGAGCACGGTGCCACCAAGGCTCCTTGTGAAAGCCCAGGAGTTAGCAAAGGTGCTCTGGTGGCCCCGAGGATTACCCGGGGACCTGCGCCACCACAGGCCACAGTTCAAACCCACCCGTCACTCCAAGGGACAAAGACGAGGCCATCTGCCCCTGCAATGACACAGACCTGGACACCCCGGCAGCGTCTGTCTCTCCGCTGTCCCACGGGCAGGGAGAAAGACATCCGGCCGAAGCCCCCAGGGCAGCTCTGCTCTGTCCATAGGGTCCCTCTGAGCAGGGACCGCCTCGATGGTGGGGGTTGGCAGGGGGTCGTGGACGGCGGGGTTGAGGGCAGCCTTCTCTCCCCCAAAGTCTTGTTTTAGACGTTGTCTTCCAAGCTTCCAGGACATGGCGGTGTTGACGTCGTTTTTGCTTTGTCCCCGCTGAGCAACGCAAAGTGAGCTTGTCGCTGTTCTCAGTTATGCACACGCGAACACCCACGCACCGGGTCAGCACATGCTCAGTGTCACGCTCACCATCACACGCACACACATGTCACCCGCACACAGGAGCACACCAGGCACTGCGAGTGGTCTGCCTCCTGGCCACCCGAGGCTCTAGAAGGAGACCGCCAGACTGAGAGGACCGCGGACACCGCTGAAGACCTGAGAGTTCAGGGGTGCAGAAGAGAGGGGTGTCGGCGACCTATCCCGTTCCTTACCCAGCGCTCTCTCTGGTCGCCCCCAGCACTTCCACGAGGAGCTGGCCCTGCAGATGGTGGTCAGCACGGGCATGGTGAGGGAGAACGTCTTCAAGTACGCCTGGTTCTTCTTCGAGCTCCTGGTGAGGCTCCCGCGGGCATGGGGGTGGGGGGCAGGGGGCGGGGAGCCCCTGGTGCAGAAAGGCAGGGACGTCATCACTGGCTGGGGAGATGGCCTGTCACCCCCTCCTGCTGCATCTCTGACCTCCTCCCTGGAGTCTCACACCCCCGCCTCTGCTCCCCACCCAGCCTTTTCCGTCCATGCCCAGCCTGTCCCCTCCCCCTGCCTTCACCGTCGCACCTGGCCAGTTAAGCTGCTGAGCACAGGGTCGGTGGTTCAAGCCTACCAGCCGCTCCAAGTGGACCGTTGAGGCCATCTGCTCCAGCTAAGAGTTCCAGTCTGGGGCAGACTCACGGGCAGTCGGCTGGTTGGTCTTTGCTTTGTTTAATTGTTGGGACGTCTCAAAAGAGACGGCCTCAGGGCAGAACGCGACAGGCATGCTGCCTCACCCATGAGACCGAGGAGCCGGGATCACCACAAAGACCCGTCCAGACGGCACAGCGGCCCCGCACTGCGGGCTTCGCCCTCACGGCACATTTGTGCTTAGAGTTTTGGTTGTGAGTGGGGTGAAGGCTCACAGAGCAGGTCCGTGTCCCTCAGACACATGGGGTTCCACGTCACCGACTGCCACCGCACAACACACACACCCCGCAAGTCAGTGCACAGACACAGGTGTCCCACGTCTGGTACAGGGGCCTGATGTTGCCAAGCATAGACAGACAGACAGACAGACAGACAGATAGATGTGATTGATTGATAGATGATAGAGATGATAGACAGACATAGGTGATTGGTAAATGATATGATAGGTAAGTAGATGATAGATATTATAGATAAGTATGATAGACAGGTAATATATATAGATGATTGATCAATAGACAGATGATAGATATCATAGGCAGATATAGGTAATTGATAGATTATATGATAGGTAGATGATAAATAGATATTACAGTTAGAGATGATAGATATAGATGATAGATCGATAGATATTAGTGGGCATAAACTCACTTTGCCTCCACGCCCCTTCAGCCTGCATGTTCCACCACAATTGTGTGTGTGCGCTGGGGGTGAGACACAATTTAATCTATCACAGCAAGGCTGAGAGCCATGGATTAGACCCCCAGCCCCTCTCTTCTCCACCCCACTGGTGCCCTGGGATACAGGTCATTGTCCAGTCCCTGGGTGGGACTCTCAGCGGGCAAAGAAGGCAGGAGTCTCACCTGAGGGCCAGGGGAGGGCAAGTCGGGAGTCTCTGGGAGAAACCCACACATGGTCCCTGTGTCCACCTCACTGGCTCCCAGGGCAGTTGTTTTTTAGAAGCAAAACCAGTCTCTGTTTTGGAACTCGGAGAGAAAGTGTGTGTACACTCCCAGGGAGAGCCTCCCACCCTCTCGGGCCCCACCTCCCGCTGTGTGAGGGTGCCCATGATAAAGGAAGTGCCCTTTGGTGTGGGGGCTGTGACCCGTGGTCCCAGTGTGATGAATGAACAGCCCCAGGTGAGTGGGTGATCTGGTTCACCTGGTCGGTTCTATACCCAAGTGCCTGTGGAGGCACCTCAAATTAGGAAAGGCCTTCCCGTCTGAACCCCATCTCTGCCCTCCCCATCACGGGCCAGGTGGTCACTAATATTTCTCTCTCTGGGGACCCAGAGAACACAGTGGTGGCCATCCTGGAAGGCAGCCACCACTGGGAGCACGCTATTGTGGGAATGACCTATTGGGCTCAGGCGGCCAGCTCAGCAGGCTGGAGCCCAGCACAGCTGGGTGCTCCGAAAGCCTCAGATATTTGGGACGGGGGTGACCCAAGACAAAGGGGCCTTGTCTTGCTGGCCTCTCGTTAGAAGCCACTTCAGTTGAGAAGTTCCACTCCTGCCTCCAGTTCAAGGCCACCCCTCGCATGTCTAGTGTGGACACATGGTCTGTTCTGGTCCCTGAAGGGGCTGTGTGGAGAGGTGCTGGCTCCTAGCCGGGCTGTGGGACCCAGGCCCTCAGCCATACTTCCACCAGAGGGTCACACATCAGGCCTGCCCTGGGCACACTGCCTCCACCTTCTCACCGCTCAGGAAAACCACCAGCCCTGCCTGCTCCAGCGTGTGCCCGCGCCTTCTTCCCACGGTGTCCTGGCCACTGGACAGTCTGCCCACTTGGCTGTCTGTATCCACGCTCCCTCAGCTGTGACCTGAAGTCACCTCCCGGCCCCTGGGCCGGTCCGAAAGCCACCACCTGTTCTCTTTTCCTCCTTCACGCCTGCCTTCATTCATTCATTCATTGTCCTTCCCCCCCGCCCCCCCCACCCCCCCGCTTCTTCTTCCTTTTCCGTGTGTCTGTGTGTCTGTGTGTGTGGCACAAACAAACCCAAACCAAACCCCCTGCCACCCACCGAGCCAACTCACAAAGACCCAGGAGGTAGAACCGCCCCCGGGGTCTCCGAGACCCTAAACACTATTGGGAATGGGAAACCTCCTCTTTCTCCCACTGAGCGGCTGGTGGTTTCAAACCGCTGACCTCGTGGCTAGCAGCCCAGCACCTACCCCGAGGTGCCATCGGGGCTCCACAGAGGCAGAAGTAGCTGTGACTGTGGTTGTTGAGCATCTGGGCTCCAGGACGCGACCTGGCAGCACTGGAGACAGCACGGCCATGTGTCCTTCCTCCTGATTCTCATTGTAAAGGTGGTCAGGGCCCCTGTGCACCCCCCCCACCACCACATACACGCACGTGAGCCAGAGCCCCGGAAACAGCCCCATGTGTTGCTGTGTGTTCCGAGTTGTGGTGGATGGGTGCCCGAGGGGTAGGGCCGGCGGGGCTTGCCCCTGGGTACAGAGGAGGGGCCCTGTGGACACCAGCCAGAGCAGGAGTCTCCCTGGCTCCGTCAGCAGCAGGAAGCGGGGTGGGGGGGTCCCCTGGATTGGGGTCAGGAAGAGGACACCCTTCCCAGCTCCTGCCACCACGGTGCCTGTCCAAGCGCCAGAGGCACACTCCCCCACGGAGCTCTAGACAGGCCTTTGTGTGTGTCCTTTCCAGCCTGCGGCCACCGTCCAGGGCATCAAGCAGGCCCCAGACCCCATGACTCCCCTCTCTCACCTCCCCGCCCCTCCCGCAGGTGAAAAGCATGGCACAGTATGTGCACAACTTGGACAAGAAGGACCATTTCCGGAGGGCACGCTTCTCTGACCGGTTCAAAGACGACATAACCACCATTGTCAACGTGGTCACCTCGGAGATCGCTGCCCTCCTGGTCAAACCCCAGAAGGTAACTGCCGGCCTCTGCCCCGCGGGGAGGTCCATGAGAGGACCGAGCATCACCTCCAAGAGGGCCTGAGCCTAGGACTCTGGGGTCAGCCCGGTGCCTGCCCACGGGAGTGTGACTGTGTGTGGGTGGGTGTATGCATGTGTGTGCGTGTGTGTGTGCATGCATGCATTCACATGTGCATATACAATCTGGTCCAGAGTCTAGGTATAGAAAAGGATAATCCTGTTCTTAGGAAATGCTCCAACCTACCGTGAAATGATTCAGGAAGAAGCTAATTTCTACCATTTATATAAAAATAGACAAACACACAAACGGTCACAGTAAGTTGGTTTTGCCCTGTGTGTCCTGGGTTATATTTTAAAATGTTGCAACAGTGTCAAGCTTACAGATAAAGAGGCAAGAATAGCACCGCAGACCCACTTTATACCTTTCACCAGACCCCCCCCTCATTACCGGGCCCGGGCTGCCATGGAAATGTGAGGCACGTTACCATTTCTATCCTTCTTCAGGACCGGCCACAGCCCTGGGTAAACCCAACCAAGGCAACCCTCTGCCATCCGGTCACTTCTGATGGCCACCATGAAGAGTGACCATCTGGGAAGCCCACGGGGCGGTTCTACCCTGTGCTGGGGGCCCGCTGTGCGTGCTGGCGGGAGTGAGTGAGTGTGTGTGACTGGGAGGATCACACCCATAAAGCATCCAGGTTCCATCAAGACAGAGCCACTGGTGCCTGAGCAGTGGTGCTGACCCCACCCGTGGAAGGTCCCACAGGCTGCTGGGAGGACACGCGAGTCTGTCTTGGAAGCAGGCTCCTGGGTAGCAGGGGTGGCGAGGTCTCGTCTCCCCCAGTGTCAAGGGGACGGACCGGTCC